CCTGGATGCCACCCTGTGCCACATGCTGTAGGTGTGCCTGCTTGAGCAGGAAGGTTGGACTAGATGATCTGTAGAGGTCCCTTCCAACCTTAAATATTCTGTGAMTCTGTGAATCTGTGGGACACAACTGCTTAATCCTCCAGTCAGCCATGGCGTCTGAGGAGCGCTGCAGAGGACAACCTGTGTCAGCATCTGCCTCCCCTCCGCAGCCTGCCTTTTCTGACCCGTGTGCTGGAAAGTTCAGGCTCATGCAACACTGCAGATAACGTCTGCAGAGTCCCAGCGTGCACATGTCAGCCCAAACRCTGCCCATCTCAATAAGCTGATGGTTCATAGAAATCTACCTTGTGGGGCATGCTCATAATTTTTGACAAGGGGGTTTACTTAATGCTGCTTGTACAAGGAGGCAGCTTAAACTCAATACTCCTGTTTATCTTTGGACTTTGAACCTTGATTTCTTGAGCCTCTCCTTAAATGTACATAGGCATAACTTTTCAGTCAAGGAATATGCATAAAGTTATATGGTGCTATGAATAAGTTATTTGCTCAAGCTGTTGCTCTAATACTCTGACATGAAGTGTGAGCTGTCAGGAGAAAACGGGAATAATGCTGTGAAAATCAACGAGCGCTCAAAGGTCTGTCCTAACACTACTTCACACCAGCATTTTGGTTACAAACTGCATTTTGTGTTTCTGCGCAAGGCTTGATGATCAAGTAAGATTGAATCATCCTGTAAATAACATACAAACATGCTCTCACATACTGACTATTTTAATTTTTAAGACTATCAGAGCACTGCCATTGATTACACAAACAGAGCAAAATAGTTTTACTTAAGCAGAACTGTAGTGCAATGATGTTTGTATTGCACTGAAAGCAAAAGTAATATTTCTGACATTGGTAACATTTGGTAACAGAAATTCTGTTGGCAAATGAGTGTTTGTGAGGACCTCTTTCATTAAGTTTGGGTTATGAATTCCAGTAGTGTGGTGAATAAGTAGAGCTTATAGAATAAGTAGAACCTCTTTAATGTTTAGGGAACCCTCTAGGATGTCATTGTAAGGAAATTTTCTGTATTTGCATCAGATTATTCTGAAGTTGTGGTATTGCTGGAATACTTTTAGTTGCTGTGTCAGCGGTGTGAAGATGAGGCTGCTTGCTGGGAGCACCTCTGCATTAACCTTGCCTCAGATAGCAAACCCTTCTGGGTTTGGCAAGACACCAAATCTCTCCTGTTTCCTCCTACCATGACCAGGGTATGAGAACAGACTAGAGCATTGCTTGCAGTGCTGAATTTTGGTTTGCCAAAGGCATTTGGCCCATGGAGGATGCTGGTTTGAGGAATCAACAGGTTCAGCATGGAAATGAAGCGGAGTCACGTCAAGCGCCGCTGGCACTTCTGCAGCCCTTAAGTAGAGCCTGGCACAGCTGGTTGGAAGAAATTTGTTGATTAGACAGCACGTGAAACACAGCGATTTGGCAGGACTGGCAGCACCTTGCTGCTTCACTTGTAAGAGGTGATATTGCTGAGAGAGGAGCAGAACCACCACCACAGCACCATGCAAAATGCCATAAAGCTGYAGGACTCTAGAGCCTGCTCTGCACAGGCACGTGTGGTTTGGAAAGCTGCTGATTGCCTTTTGTGTCCCCAAAACCAAAGCTCTGCCTGTATAGACGGTGTCCTGTCCCTGGCAGAGCCCCAGACGAGCAGGAACGTGTGCCTAGGGAAATGTGTGAACAGGGCAAGCTTGTCGTCCTGTGTCCCCAGCCTGCCTAGAGAGCCTCCAGCAATCTGAGCCTCCAGGAGTCCCTGGCAGAAGAATAGCATCTTCATTTGGTTATTAGTCCATGACATTTTTTTTTGTCCCATATATTTCTTCATTTGCTTTTTGTACCTATGTAAATTGCTATCAGCATCCTGCAGCAAGGAGTCCCATAGTTTATTACACAACACTTTTTATTTGGTTCAAATCCTTTTGATTAGTTCTGATTGATGCCCCATATTTCCTGAATTTATCATCTGTAAGTTACTTCTGATTATATAAACCATATCCTATGGTCCATGTCTCTTTTCCCACCTGGAGAATCCTAGTCTGCTTATTAGTTCATCACAGAAAAGCTACTAYTGTTCCCTGAACCGTCGGCAGCTTGTTACAGCTTTCAGAGAGGGAAGAATCAAGCTGAAGTATGCAGTAAGTAATGCCATTTGCATCAACAGCAACACTCTCCTGCTGGTGCCACCTGTGCCACAGAAAAGGGGAAGGCTTTTCCTCAAAGGTCCCCAGGAGGCCACTTTGGGAGAAAGGCTTCTTTGTGAGAGGAGTTTGTGGTCTGACCCAAATGGCAGGTTCTATATTATTTTCCAGGGCTGGACTCGGAGGTCCCAGCTAGGACTGAGGCCTTGTTTATTGACTGGCTCATGACAGCTTTTAACCAYTTGGAGGTTATTCCTTCAGCTCCTGAGCCTCAGATGACATCCTGGAGGTGTACATCTACATACAGCCTTTCCCACAGAGCTCTCATAGATGCAGGGCACTTATGWGAAGGCTGGCAATAGGAACTGAGTTGTGTGCAGAGAATTAAGAAGGGGGGATTGTGAAAAGGGGTGCTGAGGGGTGCAAAGGGATGCAGAGCAGGCTGGAGCCAGGATGTCAAGCTCTGGGCACGCTGCAGTCCCTGGGATCTCCTGCTTTTGGACCTGGTAAATGGAGAAGTCCAGTGTCTGCAGTAGGAGGCTGGGGCCAATGACTGAGCTAAGGCTTGGCTGACCTCCTGGTATGCATCTGTGCTCTTGTTTCTAGTTTATGGCTCTAGGTATGTGTAGCCCAACAGTTCTTTTGATCCAACAGCCGAATAATGTAATTTGTAAACTAGATAAATCCAGAATCTAGATCTTTCATGAAAAAGATCAACTATGGGAATGTCTTCTGTGGAAAATGACCAGAAGAGCTAAGACAGACAGGCAGTCCAGACACAACCTGTACTGCAGCAGTTCAAGATCCTGCAGTGCTAATGCAGGAAGCATTCCAGATGGTTTTCCTGGGATCGGACCCTGAAGGAGCCAGAGTGCCTTGGGGAGCTGCCACAGAGCTTGGTCCAACTGCTGCATTTTCATTGCTAGCAGGAGGCAGCAGCCACTGCGGGGACGCCGTGCTCTGCAGACACAGCTASTGCTCTGACACCAGCAGCCTGGGATTTGCTTTCAGCATCAAAACAGGTCATAATTAAGGCTTCTCTTCGTTATATACCAAATGGTTTTTGGCCTGTTCCCAAACCTTGCGTATCCGTACAAAGGAGAGGAAGTGGAATGCAGGAAGTGTCCGGGACACGGTGTCTGCAGTGAGTAAGACAGAGGAAATACACAGGTCTTTATTTTTTGCTGTTCCACACCTCTGAAAGAGGTAGTCAGTTAGTGCTATCAGGTTTTCAGGGTTTGCCTTCAACTGATGGGTTTACAAAATGATGCAGGGAGGTGAGTGTGCTCTGTAGGAACCAGAAACATCAATTGTTCATTGGGAATATGCAAGGAGATGGACCATTTTTTAACCTGTCAGAGAAAAATACAGTATTTCAAGTGTTGTGTCATTAATCAAACAGAAATCTGAGGTGTTGTAAAAGATACCTCTCAGCAATGGCAACTGAAGTTTTTGCTTTGTTATCAGGGAATGACATACCTATACTGAAGCTGCCCATGTCTTCCTCCTTTTTCTGCATGTAAGGAGGGGAGTGGAGAGCTCTGAAATTTCTTACAGGAAGACATGCCACGCATACATTGCAGATACATATACCCTGATTTCCATCCTACTGGGCACAGACTTTCTATCCATTCCTTTTCTCGCTTCCAGTGTCCAACAAGCACCATTTTATGGACAGCAACTTGCTCTACCAGTGCAGAATGAATTTCCGGCGGCGGCGGCGATTAATGGAGCTGCTCACGGAGAAATCGCGCTTGGGGCCAGAGAGCCATGACAGCCCCTTTTGCCTCCGCAAGCAGAACCATGACAACAGAAAACACACCAGTTTTCTCTCAGGTGACTCCTTSGCTGTTTCAATGTCTGTAGAGTGACTCCACGTGATGTTAAACACCCTTTAGCATCCTTATCTTGCAAGGTTTTCAGTGTTTACATGCAGGAAGCAGCACAGCCTATCATGTATCTTACTCARTTCCTTGAGGTTGCCCATCCAGTTGACTTATCTAATCATCTGTGTGATGTTTCTATTCCTGTACCAATAATGTTTTGGTTGTGTGGGTTCTCCCATCAAAAAGTCGTATCCATGAATAAACAAAACTGGGTGTAATCCCCCCAAGCTCCAAGTAATTTGCCATATACTCAAGGTTGTGTTTGAAGAAGAGCCAACATGAGGGACAGGGGTTCTGCAGTGTTTACTGAATGGCAATATCTAGCAAGAACTGAAAGAATAAATGGAAGGGAACCAGAAGGAAAACTGGAAGAATTTATTTCCGTATCTGGAAATGTCTCCTAGAGGATATCAAGCATAATGAGAGCAGTGGAGCTGTGGGGTGGGCTGCACTACTAGCTTTCCATGCAGGGATTCTTCTCACTGCAGGGAATACGCTAACCCCTTTCTGGTATTACCAATGAGGGCTTGGCTTATTGTTGCTATTTTAAAGAAACCAGGCAAATCCCTAATTCTCTCTGTCTTTTCTGTCTGCTTGCAGTGAGTCCCACCAAGGAGATAAAGATCGTGTCGGCAGTGAGGAGGAGCAGCATGAGCAGCTGCGGCAGCAGCGGCTACTTCAGCAGCAGCCCAACGCTCAGCAGCAGCCCCCCAGTTCTSTGCAACCCCAAGTCCGGTAAGCACCAGCACCAGCCGTGCACAGGAGACGGAGCACAGACCTCCTTTTGGGGAGAAGGTGATGCGGAGGATTCCTAGCACTGCGWATAAGTTTATCACTTCAAGGATATATTAAAAATTCACAGAGTCATGGATTTTTTAAGGCCAGAGGGGCCTRTTATGATAATCTTGCCTGATGTCTTGCCAAACACAAACCAGAGACTCGCCTCCAGTAATCTCTGCATCAAGGCCATGACTGCGGTTTTATCTCATAGGAGGACATACACTCAGAGATCCAGATTTGCCTGTTCACTGCCAAGCACCAAACACATTCAGATCTCCTCCTGGACACATTCCTATGGTGTAAGTCAGAGGAGCCTTTAACTATCCCGTGGCCACTGGATTTGCTAAGAAGTAGCACAACTCAAACAGCAGCATCTAAGAAAAGAGGAAGCATCATTTGAGCCTGTCAGAGGCAATTCTAACATTTTAGTTTGTTTAGGTCTTATAAAAGTCTGTAAGGAAGGCAGAAGTCTTGTTGAAGCTTATTTTCCTTTTGAAAGGATTTCCTATCCCACACCGGAAGGTTAAACACACCCATTCTTAGACAGTTCAGTTAAAATTGCTTCTGATTGTATATCTGTGAGGGGGAAAATAAACTAGGGTGAATATTGTTTCAGCCACTTTGTTTCCCTCAGAAACAGCCTCGAATTTCTAAGTAAATTATGCCCTGCTCTTTGTGGTCCTTATTTTTTCAAACATAGTAGTCTTCTATGAGGCATCCACAGGGCTGCTGGGGGCACAGAGAGGCTCGGTGCTGCTTCTGGCCAGTGGTAGGGACAAGGCCGTGTACTCAGCTTTCCAAGGGATGCTTACATTTAAAGCAGTGACTAGTGATGTGGGCAGAATGGCTACCAGAAAAAGAGAAATTGGGACCCTTCCTTTCTTTCTGTCATTAGCCCATATCCATCTGTCTCATGTGGCTTTGGTGGGAATCCAGTAGGAAGGTCTAGACCATTTGAGAGCCGCTGTGTGATGGCATGACTAGGTCCATAACGCRGACAGCGGCCTTGCTGTCCCCCTGGGAACGCCACCCGGCCGGCTGGACGCGACGCGCTCTGCGCGAGCGGCTGCGCCGCGTCCGGCTCCCCCTGCCTGCCCCTGTTTGCCGAGTGCCGTCATGTGAGGCTTTGGAAGGGTAACTCTCAGGTATTCCCCCCAGAAACTCTCTGGTAGGGTTGGTGTGGAGCCAACCTAGACCAAGAGCACTTTGGCCCCAGTACATCATTAACTGTACCCCAGAAAAGTTGCTGTGACAGATGAAGGAGCATTTGTGTGGTGTCCATAGATGCTGGTGTTATCTTAAGCATGCCTGCTATTCCATTCATTTATGGCTCTGATTGTGCATGAGCTGTCACCCAGGAGCAGTGAGACCAAGTTTATTTTAATGCAGACGATTATACAGCACTGGATGAGAAAAAATAGGCTGATGCTGCCCTTGCACAAAATATTTCTTCTTCTTTCTCTTTCCTCCCTTTTCCTTTTCCTTTCTTTTTCTTTTTCTTTTTCTTTTTCTTTTTCTTTTTCTTTTTCTTTTTCTTTTTCTTTTTCTTTTTCTTTTTCTTTTTCTTTTTCTTTTTCT